AGTATTTAAGCCATGTGATGACCTTAAAGCTAATTTTCCCATGGCAGGTAACAGTTAACATGTCCATACAATAACGTGTTATTGTTTAGTAGAAGGATGGTCTACATGCAGTTTTAGGGGCTTTTGCACTTGAATAAGAACAGAATTTTGGTGGAAAACACTTATTTTTAAGTCTTATCTGAGTCAAAACGAAATGTAAAAAGTCCAATAAATCTCTAAAAGCAGCTCTAAAACATTAACAAATTGCCTTCCATCTTTAAAATTCCAAATCAGTCCAACCTTTACAGAACAGGTAATGTTTAACACTCAGTAATTATGTAAAATGAGTGTATTAAATGTACTTTTGCATAACCACACAAAGATTTTCTAATCCCTGACTATACTGATGTTGTTGCACATGCACATCTGTTTTTTTCCAACATAAACCTCTGCAACAGCTGCCCAATTCACACACTCTTGAGATACTCACTGTGTCCAACCGCTGTTATTATTTACAAAGCACAAGACAGCAGCAGCATTGTGTGTGTAAGGGCCCGCGTCACAAACCACCAGGGGGCATTGTGTATTCAATAATGCACCCAGAATATTACCATAGACGCAAAACAGGGGTGCATTGTCACTAACTGGCCTCCAGTGAAATATTGTTGACAGGGCTCAGGGAAGTGCTGCGGGTTCCAGTGAGCAGTCTGTGCACTCTGCTGAGGAGGAGGAAGATGAGGAAGAGGCCGCCGCCGACCAGAAGAGCCCAGTCCTCGTCTTTAATTAAGTATCTGAAACATCAATTTAAATGTAAATATCGGTGGTGCAGCACCACTCATGCGTAAATTAGAGGGTTGGCCCAGCCACATTTCTCTCCCTCTTCCAAGTCCCTCGCTCACTTACGCTGACATCTGCTCACAGCTGCTCGGCCTGGGGCTGTCCCCTGTGCACGCGCACACACACACACACACACACACACGCTACTGCTATTTACAAATTTCTTTACACGCACACTTACTTATACTCTTCCTAACCTTAAGTTGGGATGACTGTCTGCTGCTTGTTGTCCTCTCCAATGGTTGTATTCCATCTTTTTATCATGCAGAATGGCTTCAACAGTGACCACTTCTTAATCACACCATTCAAAGCCCACTATAACATGTACAGTGGGTTTGTGATTAATAAGCTCTGGAAAGTATTCAGCTCCACTGAGGCCGCTGCTTACAGGGCTTTTTAAGTATTCCATATAGCAAAATGTCAGTAGTTATGTTTCCTTTAAAACTGTGTGCATGTTTTAAAGCTGCATTAACCAATATTTCTTTTACAAACAGGCAAAATGACTCTGTAATGTGAAGTGGTTTGCTAATGATAAGCAGGGCCGTAGACAGGACTTGTTAAAACTCCCACCCTGCAAAAAAAGTTTTAAAAAAAACAAGAAATAAGTATCTAAACTTTTTTGACTATTCATATTTCACTCCCAGGATTAATTGGGCAAGTTACTGAAAATCAATAACTACTTACAGTTACTTCTCTCAAAAGTAAGTGAATTACTTTACCAATTACTGCATATAAAAGTAATTAGTTACTAGGAAAAGGGACTTTTGCATTACTTTTAAATGTCTGCTTCGCTATTATTGCACATATAGATGTATTATTTTAGTGTTGCTGTGGGAAAAGACAAATTTATCTAGTTATTAATACTCCCAATCACCAGAGGGATTAAAGAGGGACAGGAGGATTTAGCAATCTCCATGGCTTGCAAACAAGGCCAATATGCAAGTAAAAAAAACATGCAGTTCCTCTAACGTCCACTTGAGGCTGGCTCCAGCAGTGAGTCACACTTTACATCAGAAATAAAAATGTTTACAGCCTGGTACAAAAAACACTTTTGGTCTCCATAGCTAATTTCCCCGCTCATTAAAACTGTACGGGATGTGGATTTTTTTTACTCACCTGCTTAAATTATATTAAGGCTAAGTTATGCATAAGTAAGGGAATGGCCACTTTGAGTGACAGATGTCTGCCGTCATAGGCAGCTGTTTTCAGTAAGCAGACTTCATTCAGCCCGCCTTAGCTCCACCCATGCTCCACCACTTTGCCCATTTTTGGACTAGGAGGTCTGGTCAGGACTGCCAAGATGGAGATGGCCAGAGCCGACCACTCTGTGCTTCTCCATGGCTCTTCAGAAACCTATGGGGGACAACACGGAGACTATATCCACCATCTATGGAATTTAGTGGAAAAACCCACATGATGTACACTGGCCGTGCAAAAAAAAAAAGTCACCACCTGGATTTAACTAAACTATTCGGTAAGAGCCTTCCATTAGATAAATACTGCAGTGATAAATATGTTTCAGCTGGCAATAAGTTATTTAACCCTAGCTGATGCAGTGAATAGCTTCTCATTCCTTAAACAACTATGTCGGAAGACATATCCTGTGGTCGTGGAAAGGATGTTAATCAGTTTCAGAAGGGTCAAATTATTGGCCTGCATCAAGCAAAGAAAACAACTAAGGAGATTGCTGAAACTACTAAAATCGGGTTAAGAACTGTCCAACACATTATTAAAACCTGGAAAGATAGTGGTGAACCATCCTCTTCGAGGAAGAAATGTGGTCGGAGAAAACTCTTGAATGATTATTTAAGTGATCGGAGATCACTCAAATGTTTGGTGAAATTATATCGTAAGAAATCAACAGAAGAACTCACAGCTATGTTTAACAGTGAAAGTAAGAGCATTTCCACACGCACAATGCGACGGGAACTCAAGGGATTGGGACTAAACAGCTGTGTAGCCATAAGAAAACCACTGATCAATGAGGCTAATCGGAAAAAAAGGCTTAAATTTGCTTTGGAGCATAAAGATTGGACTTCAAGATCATGTGGTATGATGAATCCAGATTTACCCTGTTCCAGAGTGATGGGCGCATCAGGGTAAGAAGAGAGGCGAATGAAGTGATGCACCCATCATGCCTAGTGCCTACCGTACAAGCCTGAACTAAATTAAATGAGGAAAATGAGTGAATAAAAATAGTGATGGGAACTGTAAAGCTAAAACTGGATGTTGTGATTGTAACCGCTGCTTGCAAGAGCTACTGATATATTTGTATCAAGATTTGTTTTTATATAAGATACATGTGATCCTTTTAAATAAGTAGAGGTGATCAGATTGTAACGTTGTAGTTTCGTTTGGGCACATAAAAAGACACATCTCTGGCATGCTTGTGTTTGACATCCTCAGTCAGAAATCAGCTGTGTTCATGTCTGACAGTGTTGTTCAAAGACAAAAACAATTTCATCTTTGCCAGGGTCCTCAATTGGTGAATCACGTCTGAACCAGCTTTGTGTTATATAAGACAGTGGGTTCCAAGGCTGAGTGTCTCGCACAGTCTATTTAAAGCAGTGTTTGAACATGTAGCTGAGGGATAAATAGTGCATGACATGCTTCTGACTCCATTAGTAAAGAAGCAACGTACTGCACAAGGTTGTCGTTACGCAAGTGCTGCGAAAGCTGTATTTCTCCTCACAACCACTAGATGGTCCCTGTCACCCTCAGTCTGGGTTCAGATATGGTGTCAGATGGAGAAACAAGGGCGGTTCAGTGACATTATATTTAAAGATTTTGGTTGCATGCACAGAAAAAAGATGATTTGGCTTTTGTAATATTAACAAGTTTTCTGTTAAAGGAGATCATCTGATCAAAACCAGAACACACAGCCTTATTTCATTT